AAACATTTATTTCTTACTGATAGAGAAGGTGCTAGTTCTATAGAAAAGCCCTAGCAATATGATTTTATATGTATTGCAGTCAAATGTACTTTTTATCACTGTTTATAGAAAATGTTTTTTAGATAGATAGGAATAAACTAGTGATATATTTTAAATGGCATATCAGCATATTATATCTGAAGTCTATTCAAAAATTAGTTTCTATAATACTTTTGTCAATTTATTGTTTCATTGGCATGGGCACTCCTTTCACAGATGCCCCACTGTGGTTTTTCATCTTGTGGGATTCTTATCCACTTTTTTTTTTTTCTTAAGTCCTTCATACAATAGCCATTACTTCCTATTTCTTTGCCTAGGGCAGTAGAAAAATGAGTAGCACAAATAAATACTAGGAATTCTTAAGTTCACCATTAGCAGTCACTCTATTCATGATGTGTGTTGAAGTTATTCTTGCATCCAGCCTAACTTTCTGTGCTATATTATAAGCTAGTTGGAGTTTTAAGCCAGTTACTTGATTAAATAATGAGCAACTGCCAGAATCATGATTCAGACTTGGAAGAGCTATCCCAGAATATCATCTATAGGATTAATCTATCCAAAGATGACAGATGGCCAATTATTGCTTTCCAGTTTTCAAGGATGATCATGTTATGATTGGCATCTAATTTTCCAGGACTGTCTGTAATATGATTGGCATCCAGTTGAGAGTTTGTGAAACATGTTCATAGAATTAATTTAATGGGATTAAACCATGAATTGGTGGTGATATACATATTCATGTGAAGGGGACAGAATATAAGACTAAGCTAATAATTTCATTGGTAAAATAAGCTCAGATGGTTCGCCTGTCTTGATGGATTTTTTTCCACCTGATGATTTCCTTAATTTTATATTGGTAGGGTTTGAATAAATTTGAACAACCTTTCCAGTCTAATCTGAAACTGTTCCCCTCTGTGTCCTCTGGCAAAACTAGAGGGCTCATTGTCTCCTGTATGCATGGTATACATGCTACCCTATCTTAACCTCCTTCAGTGCCTTTGCTTCACTGCCCCATGTACCCCCTCTCTCTCTGCTTTCCTCTTTCTTTGTATCTTTCATGGGTGTTTGCACAATAGAACTTGATGGCCCCCTCCCTACTGAAGACCTTTTTTGATCCCTGCAGTTGTTAAGCACTCTTCCACCCTTGAAATTACTTTGTGTGTAAGACATTAAACATCTTAAACATAGATTTAAGTTTGATGAACTTATTTATTTTTTATCACTGGAGGAAAGTACCCTATAAATTGGTCTCCTTCTTATCTTTAGTCCCTCCATCTACTGGCTCCTTCCTTTCTACCTACAAACATACCCAAGACTCTATATACTGAAAAAAAAAATTTCCTAGATTTTATTTCCTTTTTTCATTCATCCTAACATCTGTCCTCTGGTTTCACAACCAAATTTCCAAAAGAAGCTATTTCTGCCTCTTGCCTCCATTTCCTTTCCTTTCTCTTCTCAACCCTTCTCATTACTCAGCTGCAGCTGCTCTCTCCAAAGTTGCCAGTAATCTCTTACTTGCCAAATCTGATAACCTTTTCTCAGGCTTTATTCTTATACTGTTGGCCACTCTTTCCTGGGTATACAGTCTTCTCTGAGTTTTTGTCACAATGTTGTCTCTTGGTTCTCCTCTCTATCTGACCTCTCTTTCTCAGTCTCTTTTTTCTGACTTATTGACCATATCAGGCTCCTAACTTTGGGTGTTCCTGAAAGTTTTATCTTGGGCCTTCTCATATTCTCTCTATTCTTTCACCTGGTAAAAGGTGATGATGACCTGTGCCAGGGTGGTTGCAGTGTCAGAGGAGAGAAGGGGGGAATGTAGGAGAGATGTTGCAAAGGTAAAAGTGACAGCACTTGAAAACATTGGATATGGGGAGTGAAAGAGAGTGAGGAGTTGAGGATGACACCTATATTGTGAGCCTGAGTGACTGAAAGGAAGTATGGTGGTACCTTTGACAATAATGGGGAAGTTAGGAAGAAGGGAAGGTTTGTAGGGAAAGATAATGAGGTCATTTTGGGTCATGTTGAGTATAAGATGTTTACAGGACATCCAGTTTGAGATGTCTAATAAACAGCTGGATATGAGAGAATGGGGATCTGGAGAAAGGTTAAGGCTGGATTGATAGATGTGAGAATCATCATTATAGAGGTGATAGCCATAATTGGGGGGAAAAACCCTTATAGAAAGGTTTTGTTAAGCAAAACGAATTTCCATATTGTCCATGTCCAAAAATATATCTCATTCAGTATCTTGAGTCTATCGCATCTTTATCGGGAGATGGGTAGCATACTTTATTATCGCTCTCCTGGAATTGGTGATTGGCCATTGCATCGAGGATCACAGATTTAGAGGTGGAGGGGACTTCAAAGGCCAGCTAATCCATCCTCCTTGTTCTGCAGATGAGAAGATGGAGGTCCAAAAAGATTAAATGATTTGCTGCTTGAAGTCATGTAGTTAATAAATTATATTAGAACCTAGATTCTTTGACTCCAAATTCAGCACTCTTTCTGATGTCCAGTACTGCTTCTGCACTTCTCGTTGGGATTATTTATAACCACAATTCCCAAACTGAGTACAGATATTCCACAGTGCATTTTACTGGAAATTGAATGCTCTCTAGGTCTGCTTTTATGAAAATTTTAACGAAGACTTCTGCCATATTTGGAAAACGTTAATATGGACCTTTAAAATTTCAGTTCATTTCTTTATAACTTACTAGAAATGTATTTTGGTAGAAGAGGGAAAGCATTCATTTAAGTACTCTAGAGAAGATCTGTTAATCTCATATGCCAAGCTTGGTTCATATCCTGAAAACATGCAGAAGTAACTTACTTTCATCAATCTGTGATCTCACTGATATGAGACCAGTATGGATTACAACCCCATTCATGCTTCCTTACCATGTGTGATTCTGGTCCTTGTACAGTATCCTTTTATAAATCCTCCACAGATGATCAACCGAATGTAACAGAAGCCTTGTAGGTATTTTAATATTGTTTGTGTTTGCCAGGCTATCCATCATAACCATCATTCTTCTTACGTGATCAGCTCACATCTTTTTCTAGTCATGCATCTTTGCTGATATTTTCTATGCTGCTTCCCCATAAAGAAATTGTTATTCTTAATGTGTTGCAATCTAATTAGACCTACCATATGACTTTCCATTGCCCTTTGGTTCATCTGTATTGTTCTACTGATGCCATGTTGTTCCATGATTCATAGTAATATGGTATCACCAGGAGGCTTAGTGTTAAAAAGGTGGGCCTTTGTGTCAGGGATCAGACTGAGATCATTAAAAATTGCTGGGCAGTTTTTCAAATGTGAATCAGCTGGTCCTAGCTCAATATTGTCTTCAGTGGCTTATCAGGATGTGTACTGACACAATAAGTACAGTGGGCTGCCTGTGAAACTATATGTCATAGTCTGGGCAATGTGTATCCTTCATCCATTTGGATTTCTGTGTTGATTGCTAAACTCATCTCTTTTGAGTGACACTTGATCTAATTAAGGAATCCCTGTAGTCTTCTTGGATTCCATGTAATCAGTATAGCATCTCCCTCAAACAGAAGCTTCTGGGGAGTTCCATTTTTAAGTAATCTGGCTTCCATTTGGGCTTTACCTAAGATAATTATCTCTGATAATCTTTGAAGAACATGTCCCTGTTTTATGCCTGCTTGATATTGATGATCAGTTTTCTGTGGCTGCCAGTATGTGGGATCTTGTATGATTTAATGCATGCATAGGAGGCACCTTGTTAGAGAATGTTTAAAGCTACATTTTACTCTACCAAATCACATGCTTTTAAAAAAAATCAACACACTAAACCCAGTGGGATCTTGTAGTCATTATTCCTTTCTATGTTATGTGACACTGAAGATGTGACCTGTTGCAGAAAGTCTTCTGCAAAAGGATACCCTTAACATGTACATAAAGTATGCTTGCAAAGATTTTACAGCGATGAGAAAGTAGACATACCACTTTCTGGGTAATGATATAGCTGGTGATCTTTCCATTCCTTTGGAATTTTCCCCTTTTTGAGTTACCTTGAAAATTGATCTGTGAATGCCTAATACATCATTTCTGACAGTGATTTCTTCTGTATGTATCTGGTTAGATCCAATCATTCATCTTCACTTCATCTTCTTCAGTGTCATTTTGACTTACTCATAGAGCATATCATGTACTGAGCTTAATAGTGATCCCATGAGCAGATTGTGGGAAAGCAGATTACTGACCTGTGTTCCCATGTTGGGTAGGATCCTCAGGAACATTTATGAAAGGACATGGACAGTAGTCACACAGGTTAAGAAACTGTCAAATGACTTGTCTTCTGCACATTGGAAGGAATATCCATATTAATGAGATCATAGATTTATCTCACAGGGTTGTTGTGAGGAAAGTACTGTGTGAATTTTATAGTAAGTAATAAAGTAAATCATGATCACTTCCATTTTTTATTTGTATTTTGGTCTCTTATAATAAAGTGCCCATTTTAAGGGAGTTTAGTTTCTTCCAATAAATAGCCTAAGAATCACACAATTTTGAGATCCTTTATCAATATTTTAGATTGTTGGTAGTCTAAACATGATTCTTAGCATCCTTTTCTGCTGCTTTGCCACCCTCATTATGAGCTTGAAAAATACTGCACAGAATTGAGAGCTAGTTTGAATTTTTATTTTATCTGTTACCAAAGTCTGAGGATTTGTAACTTAATAGCCACCCTTCTACTAATGAGCCCTTTGATGTCCTGGCTGGTCCCCAGACATGAGACATAGTATTCTTTTTAGCTTGGTTGAGTATGCAAGAGCTAGTGGCTTGTTTACATAGAGTTGTCATTGCTGTTGCCATTGCCTTCTCCTCCTCCTTCCCTTCACCCCATTAAAATTTTTTTCACAAAAAGTTATAAATGTCTTATACCACAAGTAAGTTGAATTATGCTTTTTTTTTTTCTTTTCAAATTTAGACTGATCAGAAGAAAGAAGCAGTTGCTCCAGTACAGGAAGAATCCGACCTTGAAAAAAAGAGGCGAGAAGCAGAAGCATTGCTGCAGAGCATGGGGCTGACACCGGAATCTCCTCTGGGTGAGAGTGGAAACATGTCCCTACATTTTGGATAGTGTATTTAGCTTATTTAAAAAGTGAAAATGGCAAGAGAATGTACAGCTTTATGATTTGGGGTACATTTTCCTTGTGTCTGTCCTCTAGGAGCATTAATCTTATGCTCCATTTATTTGGAATTGTCTTTATGTATTAAAATGTATCCAACACATGCATATCTGGGCAAGTGTTCAAAGTATTGCAGACTTAATTATATTTATCATCATATACTGACTCACTAGTTCATTATGCTGACTTTTCTAGTTAAATTAGGCTAAGTGACTATTGCCTCAAAATGCCTGAGATTTTGCCTGCCTGAAAGCTAGAGGAAGACTGATGGGTTGATTTTCTGACAGTACTGATACTCAAGAGAATAGAAGTAGAGAGAAGATGTTTAAAGCTTCACTCTGCTGCCGTGGCTGATAAGGGGAGATTATATAGAGGTTGTATCCCTTGGGACAGTGATTCCACTAGTCTCTTTGGTCTTTTTCTGGATTATTCAAAGGTATAGAAGACCTAAACCAGTAAAAATCCTGAAATGGTATAAGTATACCTGAGGAAAACTCAGTCACATTATTGTGGAAAAACATTTTAAAAGTATTTTTATTGTATTGTGCTAGTACAGAAGTGTATCAGCTAATTGGTTGTGCTACAGAATAATTTGGACATATGTGGCTCCAACTCTCTAAAGGCTTACAATTTTGTTTTGGATTTGGAGTAACTCCAATGATGACATTTTCGGCAGGTCTAGTTACCCTTAAAATATTCATCTTTGGCTAGTTGCCCTTAATTTCCCTAGTTATCTAAAAGTGGCTCTCAGAGTAATGTCAATGTTTGGTCATTTACATGCCTGATTAGAACTGATGAATGTTAAAAACTAATAGGGAAAATGAGTTTCAGATAACTGATGTAATGTAGTCCCCAGGCTCCATGCTATAGGTGCATACTATTGCCAAGTCAATGTGATAAAGAAATCCTTATGGTGTTCTATAGAACCTAGCTGTAGCCAAGAACAAAATCAATTTACTTTAGGTAACTAATTCCCCACTGTGTTAGGAATATGCCTCTCTTAAGCGTAAAAAAAATTACTTACAGATTATAGACAAGAATTGTAAATCACTTTGGTCAGTTAAAATGGGTGAGAAACTTCTGACCTGTGGGTTGAATTTGGCCTGTACCTTGGCTTAATTTCATATGGCCATGGAAGTAAATAGCAAGAGCTGAGGAATCTGTATGCCTTTAGTCACAAAAATGCAATATGACTTTAAAGCTATTGAGGTGATATCCTGAAAAGGCCTCAGGATTGGGTATTGCCATATAAAAATCTGTCTCTCTGTTATTTATATGTGTGTATGTATGTATACATGTTTCTAAATGTTTCCATCATTCCTTTTGCTTTCTTTTTCATTCAGTGTCATATTTCTTACTTACCTGTTAAAATGTTTATAGATGAGAGCATGGAATAGGATAGGATAGATAGGAAACTGCTTCAGTCAGGAAGATCTGGGTTTAAGACTTGCCCCTGTGACATGCAGTCCTAAGCAAGTCACTTAACTTCTTAGTGTCCCAAGCAACTCTTTAAGACAATACATTTCAGAAGTTGTTTATCTATATTGGTACAGAGAGTTTTCTTCACTGAAAATTCCCTACTCCAGTGAAATCATAGAAATCATATTTTTCCCTCATCCCCAATTTTTAAAAATAATAATAAGGATTAAGATGGCGAGTAAAATAGCATATTTCAGCTCTACTCTTGGTCAAAAGAGTTTAGGCTCTCCAAATGTAAGTTTCTATTTATCACTTTCTCCCAAAATATATGCGTGTTAAACATGTTATCTCTATGGAATAGATGCTTTAGGAACTGTTTCATTTTTGTCTTTATACTCCTGGTGCCTACTATACTACCTGGCACTTATTAAGTACTTAGGAAATGCTTCCTTGATTGATTAAAATCAAGGATGTGGAGACGGCTTAAATATATTGTAGCGAATAAAGATTGTTTGTTCTAGATTCTTTTGAAATTTTTGGTAAGAAACAAAAGTATGCTTTATTCTGAAGATAGAATCAAGTCTTAGAATAGAGTGCAGTGACTCTTATTCATTCCAAGGCAGATGATCAGAGTGTTAGAAGAGCATTGTGAAGAATATGTCTTTGTAAATGCATGTCTTCAGAATACCATGCTTGCATGGTCTGGAGACTTCCGTACATGAATGGACTATGGAGAGTCATTACTGGAATCTTTCTTCCTACCCCCCTAAAGTGTATCTGTAATAACTTGTATTACACAGTGTTTCTAGAGGGGAGGAGAGAGATTGCTGGTGATAACTATTTTAGGTATGTGTGATCAGAGGATGATTTTATCTTTATTCTCTAGTGCCTAATGTGCTTGCACATAGTAGACTCCATAAGTGATTGTATAATTGAGTTCTCTGTTCCCTCTAGGATTATACTATGAATTAACATGCCATAACCATATATTTATGATTCAAGTGGCCATTTTATCTTTCTTCTTGGCCCTTACTGACAGTTTTTTAAATAGCAGGAAAGAGGTTCCCTCTTTGTGCCTCAATGCTTTAGACACATGTAGATTAAAGAATTTTCCTTTTTTTCCTTTGGTAAAGAGCTCTATGGTCAACCCTTGATTTTTCTTAGATTTTTGGACAAAGACTTTATGCTTTATGTTGTCTAAATTGTAGATGATTAAGATGGTCTGTGACCTTTCATCTTTCAGAGTACCTGGAATATTTGGGAGAATTAATTTTATTTTAATGTGGAACTAGAAAGAAAACTTTGTGGAAAATGAATATATTAATATTATTACCATAGTGTTAGTATTTGAGTATATATACATGTATATGTATGTATGTATGTATGTATGTATATAGAAGGAAACATGCATACAAATTATTTGTTTATTATCTTTTTCTATCCAAAGTTGTTCAGTTTTCTTTTGTGGATATTGTTGTAAAAGGAGAGGGATGAATTTGAACCCCAAGCCTTAAGTTAAGTCATTATACCAGTTTAAGGTCCTCAAATAGAGGACAAATGCTGGCATATTTTGTGATGCATAATTATTTAAATAGATATTTATAGGCAGTAATATTTTGGGACTAAAGTGTTAATATCTTTTCTTTAGATACTCAATTTTTATTGAATTTTCTGTGATCCCAACACTCAGTTCACAAAAGAGGATATAACCACTGTATTACATGATCTGTAATAAGGCTGTATTCTAACTTAAAACACACCCCTTAAGCCATTTTGAGTTAATTAAAATTATTAACCACCAAGTATATTTAAAGCACTATTACACATTAGAGCATCAAGAAGAGAGGGGGGAAAGTAGTGCCAGCTAAATCAGGTATTGTAGGAAAAAAAAATTTTCCCTTTTCTTCACATTCAGGCGCTACTGTGGCATATGCAAATGTGCTAACCAAAGCACAGTGTCTGCCCTCAGGTTGCTCACAATATAGTGGAGGAATTAACATGCAAACAATTGTGTGCTCACACAATGTATGTAGTGCAAATGGGAGATAATTTCAGAGGGAAGCCATTAACAGTGGGGAAAGGGGGAATGGGAGAGGCCTCATGCAGAAAGGAGAACTGGTTACCTGTTTTGTTACTAGGTTATATTATTATTTATATATTGTTTGAAAAGGCAGTTTTTTCCCCTAATGATACATTTATCATGATGGCTGACTGATTTTTTTTTTCTCAAATTCACATTACTTAATGTTTTGTGGGGTAACTTCTTAGCATTTATCCATTTGTCATCAGAGCAAGTTATTCTCTCACAAAGTATCTTCAGATAAGTCGTGGAATACCACATTATCTTTGAAATTTTTCAACTGTGATTAAGCAAGCAGATTCTGAAAGCTCTCCCCCTCATGAATGTAAGAAAATCCTAATTTATGTGGTGACATTCAAAAAGATAGAGCAACTTTTAGTTAACAAAGAAATATTTGATTTCTTTTAACAAGTAAAATTAAGCCTTCTTATTATCTAGACTAGCAGATTTAATTATTTCTTCTGTAAATGTTCTTAACCACTGTTATGTTTGCTGGACATTGTAAGTGGTTACAGAGGAAGTAGAAGATTAGAAGATTGTATCCCTGCCCAAGGGGGTGGAAATTTAAATGGGGGGGGGGGGGGGGGGGGAGTGGAGTAAATATGTGCATATGAAACTCTAGTCACAGTAACACTTCTATAAACTTAAATAAAAACAGCCTCAGTTGTCAAGAGATAGAAGGAGTGTTAGAGCCCTGAAGAGTTAGAAAGAAAAATGGAGATGGAAGACCCCTTATCTTAATTTTTCATAACACATTTTGATTCTATTTCCCCTGCTGTACTTTCGCATAGCAGAAGCTAAATAGTTGAGATTTACATTTTGGGAAACATGACAAGGGCTATGGACCTTAGAAAAAGCCAAATAGAACATTTTCCTTATCACCAGAATCTTTGTTATAGAACAATGTTTCATACTTTTCAAACATGAAGACCCCTTCTTAACAAAAACATTTCAGGGCCCCCACTAAACAAATAGTTATACAATTCATATGTGTTAATTGAACTCATCCATGATGATTAAAATCGATTATGAATTAAAATGGAAATGGCAATGCTAAGTGAACAAAAAGATCCTGAATCGCCTATAGTCACCCTGCAGACTCCAAGGCATTTTCATCCCACATTTGGGAGGCTCTGTTACAGAATTTGAAAATACTCATGGCTAAATTTTGATGAGGTTACTCAAATTTTGATGAACTTATTCTGAAGAGGCTTCACTGAAGAATTAACGTTTCACTGAGTTGTGAAGGAGGGGAGAAACATGGGATATTTAGTGAGAGTAGATGATGAGTCATAATTGAGAGACAAGAAAGGCTATCCCCATTTCCTTTCTTTTGGAGTAGAGGTTCATTGTAATTGATTCTCATCCATTGGTTTCAACTTTGATTTTTTACCCAGGAGCAGTCTAAAAACTGTTACTTTAACTTTGTCCTTACTATTCTTTAGCAAGCTAAAAGGCAGCTATGTTATTTTTTATCCCTGAAAGATTTAGGACTGATGCTGGACTAGTTTCCAAGGTCAAGTCATGTCAAGGGCACAGACATTTATAAATCAGTCACCTGGTATGTGCCAGGCACTATGCTAAATGCTGGGGATACAAAGAAAGGCAAAAACAGGTCTTGCTCTCAAGGAGCTCATGATCTAATGGGAGAGACAGTATAGAAACAGCTAATTCAAACAAGAGCTATACAGGATAAGTTGGAGATAATCAATGGAGGGAAGATACTAGTATTAAAGGGAGTTGTAGAAGATGGGATTTTAGCTGGGACTTAAAGGAAGAGGCCAGGAAGCAAAGATGAGGGGAGAGAGAATATGTGAAAAGACCACTTGGCTGCAACTGACTGACTTTTGGTTACAGAGAAAGGAAGGTACCTAGTTTTTAGATTTCTGATTCCTCGTAATGGCCTACATGTGAAGAGTTACTTTTAACTATTATTCTAAGGCATTATGGTGTCTCTAACACAAACTTTAACTTAGATTTTTTTTTAATTGACAAGAAACTTAGATTTATTTATATACATAAAGTTAAGTTGATACTACCATTTCTTTTAGATTTTATTTTGGGCCAGTTTGGATTAATTCATATGTAACATCCATATCAGGTGGAAATTCATCAATACTGTTTGAAGTGATCTGATTAAGGCATTGTTTTACTGGAGGGCTCATGTTGTAATGTTTATTCTTACCTCTAATACCTTTAGTTCTTACCTCAAAAGCTAAATGTTAATGGTGTCTTGTGACTAGAACAGTAGGACTGGACGCTCTTAGACCATCATTGAAGACAAATTTCTAATTTTTGTCTTTTTGGCTGTGTATCTTCCTGAAGTTCAAATATATTTTCTACATGTCTGAAAATTGAGGCTTCCATATATTTTCAGTAATGGTCTATTAAAATCTGGAAATATAGAGATGATAGCTGTTTTTGCATCTGATTTTTTTTTGTTAGTCCCCAAATCTGCTACTCTTACAGCTAGCTCTGTAGAATTCTCCTTTTTTTATGTGAAGTTTCTTTTTTGCATGGATGTGCTATTGAATATTTATTATTTCAATAGTGGAAATGGACTTAATTTAAACTCCTGAGACCACTATGGAAACTCAGAGTGATCTTCCTTTCCATTAACTGTATTGAGTAGCTCAGTAGAGAGATGGTAATGATGATGAGGTGTGTGTGTGTGTGTGATGTATCCTCTTATCCTTTTAGCTATTAAACTTTGATTACCAAATAGTAAGATCTTGCTAATTTATGATTTAAGAAATTGGGGGAAAAAGATTTTTGACTACCTTGCAAATTTGATGTTTCTATCTAGAAGCCCAAATTAGTGATGTTCTTTTCATCCTAATTTTTTGTAGTCATTGATAAGTGAAATGGCCATATGTTTATTAAATTGAAAGAGAATGTTTTAGTCATTGCAAAGAATTAAACAAGTGAAAGATATCCATATCTTGTCTTTAAAAATGTTTCTTGTAAATTTAAAGGCAGCTTTAGAGATGATTCTCCTTTAGAAATCTAAGATATATATTTTAAAAATTGTCCCTTGAGTGTTAGACCCTGAAAGGATGTTATGAAAAGAAGAAGTAACTATGTATTGTTTTCACTCGGCCAGGTCACAGAAGAACTCATAAATTTCAGTGAGTGAAGAAAGGGTTAGAAATGCACCCTGAGCGAACATAGGGAGAGCCTGATGTGACCCTTTCCCATTTCAGGCAACATTAACTTCTTTGGACCTAGTCTGGGTTTTTTTCTTTATACTCAGCACCTCTCACCATGCATATTCCTGTAGACACTCCAGTGATACTTGAAGTCTTCTAGTTCAGTAGTTGGTTTGCTAGGCTAATTGCAGCCATTTGGGTAACTGTTTTGTATTTGCTTTATACAAACTCTTGGTACCTGCTGGTTTGAAGATAGTATATAGAAGCATTTAACAATTTAAAATGTATAAATGACTTTACTATTTCTAGATACTGTAACTTTGGAAGAAATGTTCAAAAAGTATTTCTTTGGTTAATTCACTTATAGCTGAAAAAGATGTTTTTATGTGAGGGGAATATTACAATGAAGTAGCCATTTGATGTAAAGTCAGTTTAAAATATGTTAATATTGCATATTGAAATATTATCTGAAAGATACTTGAGCTCTGGGCCGTCATGGTATAATTTAACCAGAAGATGGCAGCGATGATCCTCCTGTGCTACCTGCAATAATAATTGTGAAGTATTACTAAATTCATTTGCTTGGACTACGTGCATCCAACTGGTATTTTATAATATAGCATTGAAAATTTCCATCTTATGGGATAAGTTTTTGTTCTTTTTGCTTTATCTACTATGAAAAATGTACATTTCTGTACAAGAAGGGATTAAGAATATTTTGGGTGTCTATATCTTTGTACACTTCAGTTATTAATCTAAATACTGGGTAAGAAAGTTAACTTCAGTCTTGCCTTCTTTAAGTTGCATGCTGTCATTTTTTGTTGTGCATCACTTTTAAAAGGCATGTTGCTTTATGGCTTGTTTGCATTTTTTACCCAACTTGCTGGAAATTAATGGACCCTTTAAAGGAGACATTCATTCCTTTTTTGTATTTTGTTCATAGAATGACTATTCTAAATTTTTATCCTTTTAAAAGAAAAAGAACTGAAGTGATTTAAACATGAATCTTGGTGTTTAACATTATTATATTAGGGATAATTGCCTTTGACTTAGAATTCTTATAAAATTTAAGTAAAACTTTATGATATAGAATTACTTCATAGTTGTAATTTTGGAAGTAATTGTTAATGTTAATAACTATTTTGTGATTTTAAAAGTAAAATGTTAGCATAGAAGGAATGGTCTCCTTTGAAAGCTAGTGCTAATGTTTAGTGATGGCTCAGATCAGAATGCACTTCCATAGTTGTCTTTAGGTTTTTTGTTTGTTTGTTTTTAATATCAAGCCCAAATGCATTATGTCAGAGGAATTGGCACGAATGTCCAGCATGCATTGTTAACTTTGTCTTTTTTCCCTTTTTTTCTACTGTCCATTTTCACTCATGTGTTTCTTTTCTTTTTTTTTTTTTGCCATTTTCCTTTGTGTTAATTACTTCATGTTAAATTAATTTTGAAACATCATAAGCTGTACAACCTCTTCGAGTAGTAACAGCGGATACCTGTCTATTTCACTATTTAGTCCCTCCTCCTATGTCTCCATCCTCCAAATCTGTGAGTACTCCAAGTGAGGCTGGAAGCCAAGACTCTGGAGATGGCGCCGTGGGATCTAGGTACGGTAATTTTCTTTTAATATTTTAATGATGGAATGCTTTCATTGCCCAAATACTGTTGATACTTTAGAAGAATTCTAAATGACAGCGTTGAATTAGATTTCAAAATGAAATCTAATTTGAAAATCTTTGAAATCTGATTGGCATAGATGCTGCTTGTATTAAACCGGGAAATTTTATTTTAAAATATTTTAATTTTATTATACTGTTAAATTAGCAGCAGTGAATTCATGCCATTTTATGTTTTGATAAAAATAGGTTCAGATAATGTATTTTAAAATGTTTTTCTTTAAACCCTAAGAAGACTTGTTGATTATGTGATCTGTTTTTGGAATCAACAAAAAAATAGTATGGAAAGTCTCTTCTCGGATAAACTCTTCCTGTAATAGATGAGTTATTCTCTCGTCTCGGTGTGAGCATGTTGTATTAATTACTGGTTTTACTCATTGAGGAAAAAACAATGTTGCACAAAGCATTAGGAATAAAGGAATAAGTGCTAAGAAAACACTCAACCTTTTTCATTGTTAGTATTTCCTGAGCTTACTTTCCCTTTTAAAAAAAAAATACTTTCTAGATTTTTCTTAGGATCCTGCTCACATGTAACTTCCCAGCAAAGTTCAGTTATAATTTAAGTTGCTGCCGAAGAACCTTTTAGGATTTGTGTATTAGCCCTCCAAATCCTTCTTACTTTGGTCTTAACCTTTTTCTTTGTGATCTCTAAGAGTATTTGAATTCTGTATTTTGGTACTTTTAATTAGGTGCTGAAAGCGTTTAAAAATACAGCTTTCAGCTGTCTCTCACAGTTAAAGCTAAGTATGTGACAAAAATACATAGCTAATCTAAAGCCCTTGTTTTTTGCCAAGCATTAGTTTCTTCCCCCTCCCCCCCCCCCAAAATTCCTTTGGTTTTTTGACACATAGCAGCAATTTAAATATGAGTTTTTGCCTTTCTTGGCCTTCCTGATTGAAGTTGAGACAAATAGTGAAGGTCCAGAAGTGGGGGAGAAAAGGAGGAAGAAAAGAAGTAAAGGGTTTGGGTGATCCATAAGATGAATGCTATAATTATTCTTTAAATAATTAAAGAGTTCTTTTTAACAGTCCAAATAATGAAGTGACGTGGATTTACTTCCCTGGACTGTTCTATAGTCTTAACCAAAGTTCAAAGTGTTAATCTCCTAAGTAGTATCATCATTGGCTAGACCAGAATATGCATGTTGTACATATGCGTGTACGTGTACATGTGTGTATGTGTGTGTGTAAATTACTTTAGTAAAATGTGTCTCCCAAGACTTTATTCATTCCACTTGAACCCTGCTCACTAGCCATGCCCATTTGAGTAGAGCAAAATGGAAAGATGAGGCAATTAGCAAGGTAATTAAGCAACTAAAAATAACTTACTATAGAGATTGGTTACATTTAGTGGATGACTGTAAAACTAACCATTTTACCTTCCTAACAGAGACAGGGGAAATAGTTCTAAAAATCAACAGTGTTATAATTTCATAAAATAGTTCATCTGTCTTGGATCAAATTAGTGCATTCAAAAACTGTAGGTGTTAAAGGTCAAATGTATTTAATAGTGATACCCTTGCAAAAAATATCCCAGTAGTCAACATTTTGGATTATATCTAGTGATTCTTTTGTTTGCCAAATAGATTTCCAAATAATTCCTCTTTTTGCATCATCATCATAATCAACATCCTTCCAAAATAATGGAAAAATTTATTATACTTTATAAATGTATGCATTTGATGTATTATGCATACCTGTTATATAAATATTACATTTAAAATTGGTTTTCAGTTTCTGATTTGGGGAGTGGAAATTTTATCATCCTATCATACTTGCCTTCCCAACAGTACCTCCTTAGTTTCTTAAGTTGTAAATTTAATAGTTCTAATAATTTAAATTTAATAATTCTAAATTTACTATCTGTTGAAAATTTTTTGAGAAGTTTGTGACCTCTAATAAACATAATAGAAGATTTCTTAAAGTATTGCAAAAATAGTTTGAGATCCAACATGTTATTGAGAACAGATTGCAAGATTCTCAGGAAAACTTTTCTCAAATCCTGACTCTGATACTCATTATTAACATGAGTGAGTCACTTAAACTACTTCAAGCCTCAATTACTTCATTTGTAAAATAGAACTAATAATTGTAGTATGAAACTACTATCCAAAGCACTTTGCGAAACTTAAAGCACTATCTATATCTAAGTTATATGTTTTATTATTGTTAGTGTTCTTAGGAAAAATGGTTGCTTTATTTTTAAGTTCATTGCTCACCCTATCATTTTTAACTTTGTAGACATAACCAAAATTCTGTAAGAACAGTATGTTACATTGTTTACTGTGAAATACAATTTGTAAGTATCAAATAATTTAAATGACATGGAATTATGTACATTGTTTTTAAATTGTGCTATTGTTTTCTATAGAAAAGGAGAAAGAAGTGATATTGTCTAGCAGATTTTCTCAGATTTATTTTGTAGTTGTCCAAGAAGGAAGAGGGAGAAACCCAACTTTTTTTCCATGTACATCTTAAAGAAAACTCAAAAATTGTAGTGGTAGGCAGGGATCTGAGACCAGGTATTGGAACTGCTTCTTCATGATGGTTTCTCTACTTCACTATTAACTCAGATACTCGAATAGATCTGTCATCTCATCAACATGAGCATTCTCTACAGTGATGCAAGTTGTAATTGATTCCTGAAACTCTCTCCATGCCCTCCCATAAATTTGTCTCAATAATTTTACTGTTACTCATCTTAAAAATTATTTTTGTAATAGTGAGAATTTTTGAGAAGTTGAATTTTAGTATTTTCTACTGGCATAATCATAACTGATATAAGTTCTGTGAAATATTGGTAAATATTAATTAACCTGGATTCTATAAACCATAATACACACTAATGTGAGAGAGTTTAGTGGTTTTTTTGGACAGAAATATTCTTAAATATTTAGGGTAAAACAAATGAATATTTGCTTGGAAATATGTCTTATTTGAAGAATAAGTGATTAGCCTCAAGTATGTCATAGAACATTAACTTTTCTCTTCCATTCCAACAAATATTTGACATGATTGTTACATATATTAAACACCGATAAATTTAAAGTTGAACATGTAAATATGTCCTTGTAGAGTATGCTGATGTCCTTTCTGGTCCTATCATTTCATAGTATCTTTTTATTAAAATTATAGTCTGATGTAGAGACATAAATTCTCAAAAGAATGGAGGAAAAGATAGCTACCTAATTTTCAAAAATGTCTTAGGGTTAAGATAAGCAAAGGAATTGAGAGAAGTGAGAGAATTGGTTGGTGGATGAATGGTGTTTCCAAATGCCAACACACAAGGCATTCTTTGATAAAAAAGGACAGAGAGTGATGAGCATTGAAAAGCCAGAAAGTGGATAGGTGAGAATAGAGTAAAAGAATAGAGATGTTAAGAAGAAATATTGAAAGGAAAATTATGAGCCCCAAAAGTTCAACAAGTGAAAGAATCTCGCAAGTTTGTCAAGATTCTGTAATTGCATGGGGGGAAGAAACTTTGAAAGGGGCAATGAAACAATAAGGGGGAAGGGAGAGCAGAGAAATGTTTGGGATGGATTTTATAGACTCTCCAGGCTATAGAGAAATAGTTGGGATATATAGTCAATCAAAATTGAAAAGATAAAAGTGCCATAATCTCCATTTCTTAGTGACGAGAACATTATTAGTGGAAAAAAGTAAGAGATTATGAGAAATGAAATTTGCAACTCTCTAGAAATGAACATTGTAGCTTATTAATAAAGAAGTAGTTTTTCAACCTGAATCTAAACCTCTTGGCAATCATTTTTTTTAAGTGCTGATTTTTCACTTCCCCACATTCCTCTTTCTTCTGGCTTTCTTAATCCTCAGTGGCCACCTTTTCCTTACATAAGACAAGGGGGCAGAGGCGGGGAGGAGAAGAAGCCAGATGAAAGGCAGTCAATTTTGCTAATTATTAGTAGCTCTGGTCAAAGGTTTGTTGGGAGAAAATGTTGAAAGAGTTGACTAAGATAAGACTTTTGGATTATCTGTGAATTTCATTTCTCCTTTTTTTTTTTTTCTATCTGTAAGGTCCAGTAATCAAAAGCTAGTTGTAGAAAAACACATTGCATCTCAGTTTTGCAATGCCTTTTTCATTTCCGGATGCATTTTGAAGGCAGCTCCTTGATCCATTAAAATCATATTTGATTTCAGACTAAAATTACCTCTTCCTCTATATGAAATTTTATGTCATTGATAGCAGCTGTAGCAGTCATTTTATAATACAGAGTCTGAAAACAGAACATTCCTTGTAGGACATCTCTTGAAATCCCCTTTTAGTCTAACAAAGCCCAAGTTTGTTGCCTTCTTTGCTTAGTACAAAGCAGATCTTCCCTGTCATCTTCTCTCTCTCTATGCAAAGTATGCAAAATCTTCTTGTAAATAGAGAGAGGACTTTTGTGGTTTGTCTAACTTGTCTTATAGAAAGTTTCCAAAGCCTGCTGTATGCGTTTTAAAAATAAAGGTTTTCTTTTATAAGTCAATTAAATTGGTAAATACAATAGACAAAATCACATAGTGTCTTTACTGGTGTAACTTCTTGTGTTTTCTTTAAATGTGCGGAAATATATTTTACTAAAATTATAGCATTAATGGATTGCACGTGTTTATATTTAATGTATGTATAAGGAATGTGGTCTTCATGTATTGCTATGTATAACTGAGCTTTCATTCATAATCATAAGAATGCTGGTATGAAGAAATGTCTTTTTGTTCTCTAGTAGAATTGAAAGTAGCTGGCTAGACTAGTTTGAGCTAATTCAGACAATTGTTTTTTTTTATCCTCCAGCAAAGCCAAAAACAAATCAAGATTAATTTAGGCTAAGTTTGCTTTTTAAAAAAGTAATATAAACAGTGTGTGTAAATAATGTACATAATTATATTTTTAAATATTCTAATGTAATTTTTAAAGACTGAATTAAGTTTACTTGGTTTCAAAAACAGATGACATACAGAAGAAGCCCAAGGCAGTGCTTAACCTGTAAATTACAGCAGGGTCACATTTTGGAAACTCTAGTCGTTTAGTATCCCGGTGGAATAGTCTTTTTTGGTTTCCTTACCAAAAGGTTTATGTGTTGACTCATTTCCTTAACCAATATGACAATTTCCTGCACACATTTAATGCCCTGGGCAAGATTGTTACTATGCTAAGATTTTTTTTAAACTAATTTTGTGTGATAAGGATGCAACGGTTTCTACCTTAACTTGACGTATTTTACAAATAATGTACAGTTTGGGCCAATCTTATTTGCTTTGTGCTATTCTTATCTGCTGTTGTGCAGTTTGTATTTTCCAAAAATATTGGGTGTATCTTTTAACTGCTCTGAATTATATGTTTGGATCTTTAACCATATTTTCCTTACTGCATGAATTAAAGCTTTGAGTATTAACTGTTTTTGTTTCTACTAACCAGAATGTTAGTTTAAATCTTAAACAATGAATAAGCAATGCTTTTTACACATTTAGAGAAACTATTTGCTTCACTAACTTATGACCTTTTTTACTAATGCTGCATGGTTGGCCTACAACCAATCAGGACGCTGCATTGGGATACTGATCCATCAGTTCTCCAGCTTCATTCCGATTCTGATTTGGGGTATTGAATAGATTTATCTTCCATTTTTTTATAAGTTAAATTTGATATTTTGTGATGCTATTCTCATGTATAAAATATAAAGCAGTACAGATTGAAAAGTATTTGTTTTACAGTTGATAGCTCATTTATCTGGCACATAAATTAATTTTTGTGTATAATTAAGAGACCAAAAGTTTGGGGTTTTTTTTATCCTTTTGGATGTAAACATTTCTAAAATTTTCCCACCTTCCTAAATAAAGGTTGCTTTAATACATGTAACTTAATAGAGGAATCAAGTTTGAGGGAGTTGCATGAGGCAGTGACCCTCTAAATGATTTGCCCAGAGCCACAAAGCTGGCAAAAGCAGGCACAGAGTATATGCTGAACGTAATCTAACCTTTTCCAAGTAATTAAGGATTATCCCAAACATTAATTATTGCACTATGCTCTAACTGAGTGATGCTCCAAGTGGTTTTTGAGGTGTTAAGGCTATTTGTCCTTCTGCCAAAGTCTCAAAATACCAGTCTTTTTTAATACTTTTATCTTGTTTTTTAGTTTTTTCCTTTCTTTCTCCATTTAGTTGTCATTTCTTAATGCCATCAATGTGCCTGCTTCCAGCATCCCTTCCACAATTTTGTGTTGCTGCTTCTAATCTGTTTGTGATCTGGGAAATGAGATTAAGAATTCTATAAGAAACTCAATTGTCAAATAAAAGCACATAGCTTCTGAGAACCTAAGCCTTAGGACCTAAGTTTTGTGATATCGGTTTTGTTATATTCAGAAACCTTTATGGCTTACTTCTTAATTTTCATCATTTGTTGTTCTAGATTATTGAGATTGCCAGATAAATGAGATTTTACTGTATTGGGGAGAGGGGGGAGACACATTTCTAATATACTATAATTTTGTTGCAATAAGGGCCAAATGCATTCAGGTCAGTAATCTGGCCCTAATGTAGCTGATTTAGAATTAACTTTTGATCTATTTTTTCCCCCTTCAGATGTTTAAATGATTAATTTCTCATATGGTTTGCCCTTTAAAGTTTATAAAACTTTTTTTTAAATTGTAATCATTGCAATTCCAGATTACTTAAGGTTCTCCTAAATTTGCCCATTTAATACTTAAATTCATCACATTGCCATCTATTCCTTTCTTTATGTAAGGCTAATATAGTCCTAAAATAGAGAACACATTTTAAACTTTCTTAAACCCCACATCAGATATTGAATTTCTACACTTAAAACATTTGTAGCAAAGAATTTTTAATTGGCTAATAATTTCCATAGATCAGATCATATGGGAATTTTTATTTGATTTCAGAATACTGGGAAATGCCCCATTATGTGAAAAAAAAGTTTTTAAATCTAAAACCCCTTGTTAACAGGACACTTGTTTGAATATTATGATGATACTACTATGATACTCCGGGAATTACAGCATATAGAGGAAGAGGGGCTGAACCTGTGTTTTTATTGGTAGAGGAAATTCCCTCTACCAATTCAGATTAGTACCTTCTCTGCAACTGACGGTCCTCGAAAGTTGCGTAGAGCACTGAAAGGTTAAGGGACTTGCCCAGTGTCACACAGCCACTAGGTATGAGAGACAGAACTTGAACCTAGTTCTTTCTGACTCCAAGGCTGGTGTTCTATCCACTGTACCATCCTATAGGTTAGAGAATATAAATATAGAATATAATTTATTTTGAGGGAAGCTTTACTTAAGACATTATTGTTGAGAACTTATTCATGAGTTTGTTTAAGTAAATGCCAGCTTAGAAAACACAAGTTTGGAATCACTTGCAATTCTAAATTACATCCATTTGCTCAAATGCCTAAAATGGATGATTTGTTATCCTTTTTCTCCATCACCCTGTCTTTTCATACCCATTCCCAAAATGAGAAAATGAATGTTTATTTTTTAATCTTCCTCTGCCTTAAGGAATGAAAAAGTGTTTTATTAGGGAACCTATATGCTTTTATTATCTGTGGTCCTCAAAAGATAATTTATTTAATAAATATGCCTGTACCTCAGTTTAGTCCTATGTAAAGTCGAGAGTAATACTGATTAGGCAGAAGTATAATGAGAATAGTTACAAATTTTAGAACCCAAACTAGAAATAATCATGATTGTCAATTTCCTGCAAAATGAGATACATAAAAAATAGTATTTTAAATAAAACTCCTAAAGTTACTTGCTTCACTCTGAATCTATAGAAACTGAGCTATTATTGAGTGAATTTCAATTTTCCTCTTTCCTTCACTTAGAAAATATAACTATGTCAAATAATGTTACTGATTACTTATTTGAAAATAGCTCAACCATAAGTCTAATGTCTCCACCCAGAAATTCATTTCTTAAAGAAGTATCTTTTAATCTTATTTTATTCTGTTCACTCATTAAAAATAATTTTGTATATTTTAAAATCAGCAGTTGTTTAATATTCAGAAATATCTTACAATTTTATTCATAGTTATTTTTCTTTTGGTTAAAATACTAGTTTAAATTCATTTAAGATTTGTGATTATAGTAATTTTATTTTTATTTAAATTATAAATATATATGTTAGCAATGTGGGATGAAAATACATTTTAAATTATTAATTTCCCAAACTAAAGTGGTTTGAAATTGTAAATGTATGCCATTTGTTGCATTAAAAAATACTTGTATTCACTTTATTTAGACGAGGACCAATTAAACTTGGGATGGCTAAAATTACACAAGTTGACTTTCCTCCCCGAGAAATTGTCACATACACAAAGGAGACTCAGACACCGGTTATGGCACAGCCAAAAGAAGGTAAATAGCAATTTTTGTATTTCGCATAGATTCTCAAATCTGTATTGATTTATTGTGAAAGTTTATGAAATATAGTGATTTTTTTAATTGAGAAATTGATAGAAGTTTAAACTGGTCTACCTTGTAATTTTTACGTATTTTGTGTAATACATTAATATTTATGTATTCCATTTTGTCGTTTTTTTTTTTTTACTAACAGTAAATTAGTTGAAATGTCTTCCTGTTTGAGTACAATTTTTCAGAATATGAAACAAGTATTTTCTGTTGTTTCATCTGTATTTTAATTGCATTTTGATATTCTTTATAATTGTCTATCTATGAAGGTGAATGATGGATTCACCCATTCATAGGGTCATTGATCCAGACCTGGACGAGACCTCAGAGGCCATCTCGTCCAACCTTCCTCCCCCCACTCCCTTCTGTTTTAGCTATGTGCTCTATTATGTTGCTTTTATATAAATACCTTTGATCAGCTTAGATTGGACTTGTACATGAGCATTTTTATTCATTAGTCATAGAAATTTTCTTTTATTATTACAAAAATCTTATTGGAAGCAATGTAGGTTAAGTTGAAAAGTACTGAAATGACACTTTTCTGTACCTTGAAGATATAGACGTCATGTGTAGAAACGATCCTGATTAAATACCTCATAGTGGATTTGCCCATGTCCAGTAAAATGGATGGAGAATCATAATATCAGTTTCCATTTGGCCTTATAATTTACTCATTAAGGAGCACATAAATTTAGGACACAGACTTCCACTAGAGAATGTTGGTACTCCCACCCATGGTTGTTTTTATCTGTCCTTTTAGTCTGTTGCAGAGTTTCAAGCCAGTGATCTTCTTTTTTGGTATGTTCAGGTTTTCACATCTACAAAAATTGTCTTTTCCGGTTAACTGGAAAGGCACAAAAATTATGCGCCTAGAAATAGTTACTTGTAAGGTCACACAGAGTATAGGCTTAGTTTATAAAAGTCTTAAAGAACTTAATTTCATAGTAAAGCTTTTTTGTGGTTAGGGAAAGGAAATGGTTTAAATCACAGATACTAATTAAAATTGTGGCCCATTTAATTTCAAAATTAAGTCCTGCAACACTTAATTTTCTCCATATTTGTCCAGGAAATGCTTATAGTGTTTATAAAAATGCCAGTGCTTTAATTTAGGTACAGGATAACCTATGTTAGTAATATACTTTTTTGCTGCCACATTATTAGATGTATAACTTAGAAAATGCAATACAGATAAAACAAGGCTCCCTTTTTCAAGTATCATTTAACTTAAAACTTAGTGATGGTGTTTTTAATGACATGGTGATATATATCAATTTGTTAAACACCTTGGATATTTTTTAAATGAAAAGTACTCTAATGTTGTTTTTGTAAACTTTCATGATATATTAATATTAACTAGATTCAATTTGTATGAAGTTATATTTTTAAAGCCTATTTTTGACAGATGCAAATTTGAAAATATGACTATTTTATAGCATTTAATTTGATTAGCAGATTTGAATAAGTAGTTATTATAATAAGACTGCACAGACTACCCAGCATTTTTTCAATTCTATTCAAATGACTTAAATAATTACACGAGTGGCATCATGGTCTAGTGAATAAATTATTGTATTGAGAATTGAGAGATTTGTGTTCTTTTTCACTCAGTAATTTGGGAAAGTCAGTTAGCCAATGGATATATCAGTCTCCCTGTTGGTAAAATATAAATAAGTCTATTAAGTTTTTATGAGGATCATTGATATGATGCCAGTGAATTGCTTTCAACTATTCAGAAGACTGTATGTAAAAAGTTTTTTTTGATGGTTTCTGCAATCTTAGATCTAGAAGTAACATTAAAGGTCATCTAGCCCAACCCACAAGTAAAAAGTGATTTCTCCTAAGATTACTTATAATATTTTGCTGGGGATCTTTCCTTTCCACTTATGTCCCTTGTGTCCATTATTTCCATATGTTTTCCCAACTTTTAGTTTGGAAGCTCCTTGAGAATAGGGACTATGTCTCATGTATCTCCAGTCTCTAGAACCAAGCCTTGCTTAAGTGACAGCTTAGTAAATATTTGTTTAATAAATGAAATCCTTTCATTTTACAGATGAGGAAACTGAGTCCCAGAAAGTGTGACTAAATTACCACATTTCATTCAACTAATTACTCACATAACTTGTATTAGAATCCTGATCTTGTGAATACTGGTCCAGTGATCTTTCTATTATATCATGCTATGTCTCTAGAATCTTACTTGGAGATTAATTGAAAGGGAAATTAGATTTCAGCTGTTTTCAAGTGTTAATGCAAGTGACCTTGAATAATTACACTGACCTTGAAAGAAGCATAATGTCATACTTTTATTAGAATAAGACTATTGTATAGAATAAATGTTTTCATTTTTGTCCTATGATTCAATCGCTTTGAATACCTTAAAATTTTGTAAGTTCATATGAAAAAACACAGATACAAATCATGTAAGTGTTCAGTCATATGTATGCTGTAATATATAGAGTCTGGTGGTCATCAGTGTTCCTCTGGCAGATAATTTGATATTTTCAGATGACATGAAACTGGGAGGGATAGCTAACATGTTGGATGGCAAAATCAGGATCAGAAGAAATCTCAACAACCAAATTCAACAAGCTGAAGGAGACATAGTAAGTCCTATACTGAGGTTTTAAAAAATCAGCTGTTTTACTACAGGATGGGGGAAAATGACTGAATAACAGTTCTTATATTAAAAAAAAAAGACTCAGGCGTTATAGCTTCCTATGAATTTAATATATGTCATCACTGTGACATGATATCCAGAAAAATCTAATACAATCTTAGGCCATGTTAACTGAATATGGTATCCAGAATTAAATTCAGTTCAACATTTTTAAAGTGCCTTTTATGTCCAAGACACAGGATAAGGGATATGATATTTTCACTATTGTTTTTTAGTCAATTAGTCGTGTCCAACTCTTCGTGACCCCATTTGGGGTTTTCTTGGCAAATATACTGGAGTAGTTTGCCGTTTCCTTCTCAAGCTCATTTTACAGACGAGAAAACTGAAGCAAACAGAGTGAAGTGACTTGCCCAGGGTCACACAGCTAGTAAGTGTCTGAGGCTGTATTTGAACTTAGGTCCTCCTGGACTCCAGGGCCAGAGCTCTAGCCACTGCACCACCTACCTGCCCCAGTCTCATTGTACTCTGAAATTTTAAGGCACATCTACATTACTGTGTTCAGATCTGGGTACCATATTTTAGGAAGAACAAGGATGTGCTAGAGGGCATCCATAGGAGGATGACCAGAATGGTGAGGGGGCTCAAAACGATGTTATTTGCTGATCACTTACAGGAACTGAGGGATGTTTAATCTGGAAAAGAGAAGACTGGGTAGGGAAAAGAATATGATAATTGTCTTTAAGTAATTAAAGGGCCATACTGTGGAAGAGAGATTAGATTTGTTTTTATTTGGCCCCAGAGGGCAGAATTATGAACGATGTCTTGATATATGGAAAAATTTCCTAAGAATCAAAAAGAGAATGATGAGCCCTTAGGTAATGAGTATCCCATTACTAGAGGTCTTCAGGTAGAGGCTAGATAACACTTTCAGGGAAGTTATAGAGGGTATTATTGTTGTAGTATGGCCTATACAAAATGGTCTCTGAGGTTCCTTCCCATTTTGAGATTCTATGATTTTTTTAATGATGTCATACTATTATAGTGAGGTGGTTTTTTTTTTTCTTCGGAATTTTTCAGTGACTGAAATAAAAGGAAAACAGGCTATTTTTAAAAGGCAGCAGTCATTTTAATTTTTAACAACTATAATCTTATTTCAGCTGAGCTTATCAGGTTCTTTTTAATACATCATTATAAGTTGGATTTGAACAAATATGCATTCTAGTCTCAATTTCAACAAGTAAATTAATATTTTTGATTCTCACTTTTCTTATTGGTAAAAGGAAAATAATAACTGCCCCTGCCTTAAAAGTGTTGTGACAACACATCATCAAAGTGTTGTCAAGCTCATGAGATAATGTGCATAGAACTGTAAAATGTTGTATAGGTTTTAGAGAAGAGATAAAAAGTAAATAAAGCAAGTTAATTTTACATGTAGGTGTTTCTTGAATCCAGAAACATTACACACACACACACACACACACACAAAATTTTTAAGCGAAGTAGAGAATAGAAGTCACCATAGCCTGACTAGTGAAAGGTGAAATTGGTGAACTTAAGCTATTTTTTCATAAGTGTTTCTGCCTTATCACAACCAACTTTGTAATTGCTCTTCATGGGTTCTTGTGGGTGCATTTATTAGTAAGCTTATATGTTCGTGGGATTTTAGAATTGGAAAGGAGTGCAGAGATCATCTATTTCAAACCCTTTGTTTTACAGATGAGGAAGCTGAGATTTGAAACCAAGTTTTCTGGTTCCAGATCCAGTGCTCAGTTTATTACATCATGTTGCAAATTTCAGAGGGGCCACAAACACTCAACAAGTACTTATTGAGTGCCTACTATGTGTGGTACACTAAATTACCCTCTTTTCAGCAGGGGTGGTCCTTCCTCTATGACAGGGTTGAGGTGCATAATTGGAGTAGAATGATCCCTGGGCTATTCTTAAACTATGGAAATAAAGAGAGTGTTATCAAATGATGTAGAAAGAAAATTACTTCCATGTCCAGGGCTCTTACATTAAGTTTCATGGCATAATTTGTGGGGCTTGGGGGAAAAGGGGAAGAGAGAAACCCTGAAATTAGGGTTTTTATAATGGAAACACTTTAGACTTAACTATAATGGTGCTTAGCCATTGCTTTAATACAGTGGTTCTCAAACTTATCCTGGTTGGTTCCCATTTAAGAGCTATAACAAATTTTCAAGACTCACCATGAAACAAAATTGCCCAAATCTCCATTTGAGTGTAAGAGACAGTGAATTAAAGTCGTCGGTCTAAACTTGGGGGGAGCCTTGATAATCAGTGCAAAAATAATATCGACACAAAAATGTTG